TGTCCTTTTTTGTTTGTGAAACTACTGCTTTCACCCACAACTTAATAGCCTTGCTGGGTACAGTTTTCTTGGATTCAGACCCTTGCTTTGCATGACTTCATATATTTCATTTCATTCCCTTCTGGCCTTATGTGTTTTTGTGTAGAAATCAGTCAATAGTCTGATGGGAGATCCCTTGTAGGTACCTTTATGTCTCCCTGGCAGCCTTTAAGATTCTTGCTTTGTTGTTGGTGTTTGCCAATTTAATTATAATGTGAGTTGGTGTCAGCTTTTTTGAGTTCATCTTGTTTGGGACTCTGTTAGCTTCTTGGACTTGTGTAAGTTTTTTTCTTTCCAATATCAGGGAAGTTTCTGTCATTATTTCTTCATACAGGTGTTCTAATCATTGCTCAGTTTTCTCTCCCTCTGGTATCCCTATTATTCAGATGTTGTTGCGTTTATGTCTTCCCAAAGTTCCCTTAGACTCTTCTGTCTTTTATGTATTTTTTTTCCCCAGTTGCTGCTCTGCTAGGGTATTTTTTTTCTACCTTGTCTTCTAGCTCACTGATGTGGTCCTCTACTTCTTTTTGTCTACTGTTGATGCTTTCTATTGGATTCTTTATTGCGGTGATATCATTCTTCATTTCTTCTTGGTTCTTCATTTCCTCTTGGTTCTTACACATATTGTTGAATTTGTTTTCCATCCTTATTACCAGTGCTCTGAATTTTTCCTCTGACATATTGCTTGCCTCCATTTTGTTTACTTCCTTTTTCTGTGATTCCTCTTTTCTTTTATATGGGGGCTGTTTCTTTGTCTCCCTGTGTTCACTCCTCTCAGGGTGTCTGGTTATGTAGCTCTCTCTATTCTGCATTGAATCTCTCTAGGCAATCTCTGACCTTTCTGTTCACTGATTGTCTCACCAGCTGTGTTTAATTCACCAATTCTGGCTAGTTATTATTCCATTCAGCTGTTCCTTCTATCTGCTCTGTGAGAATGTGCAAGACCCATCTGCATATTTGGCCACCACCTTGTCTCCCCCTAAACAAACTTTTTAGGTGCCCATGGCCAGGGAGGCTGGAATCTCAGTGTTGTGGGTTCATATCTGAGGCAATTGGTCCCTGGGTATTGTGGTTGTAGGGTCCTGGGAGATGTCTGAGGTCTCCCCTGTTGAAGGTAAGGCTGGCTTCTGATCTCAGCTGCTCTCTCCTTTAAGATGGTACAGTCTCTGTGGCAGAGCTGGATGCTCTGGGAGAGATTTTAGTAGTAGTAGAGGCTGCCCAGCCAGGGGAGCCTGGTCTGCCAGTCCCCAACAGTCCTGTGGAATATAACTGTCCCTCACTCAAAATACAGACACTCCCTGCATATCTATGCACTTTCCTTTTACTCTCTAACTCACACAGTATCTTGCAGCCTGCCATCCCATCATCTGCCATCTTGGCTCGATATATACATACATCTTTTTAAAATAAAAATTGGATTAAACAATATATATTATATTGTTAGAGCTATTTATTTTTGTCTTCCAATTAATAAATACTAAAGGTTTTTTCATGTCTGCATTTCCCAGCATATTTGTCAATTTTATTTTTAAATATTATTTATAATATTTCCTATGTACTCTACGAGATTTCCTATGCTAAATCTAATGACCTCTTAGCAATTCACACACTGTTGCTCACTTTGTCCTCCACTGCTTCCAGGTCATTACTCTCCCTTGATTTTGCTTCCTTCTCATTTTCTTTGTTGGCTTTCTTCACTTCTTTTCCCCCCAAATATTGAGGGCTTCCAGGGCTTTCCTTGGGCTTCTCTTGATGTCTTTGAGTCTGCTATCCTTACATATCTCTACATGCTGATAGCCCTTTTGTTTTGTCTACAGGGGAGACTGCCATGAACTTGACATTTGCAAATCTCTGATTCCAAACCTGCACCTCTATTTGGTACCTAAGAAAACATTACTTTACTTACAAAAATTAGCTCACTCCACCCTTCATTTTCTCCATTAAAAAAAAAAAGCCAATACATTCAGGCCAAAGACTTTGAAGACTTTGAACTATTACCCTCCTTTCTGTTTTATAGCCCCACTTCTATTGTCTGCTAGTCCTATAAACCCTCTGTCCAGACTCTAAGACTTCTCACATCCTCCAATCTATCTTTCATGTCTGCCTCTCATATCTCATCTGTCTCTTGCATCAATTATTATAGTAGCCTTCTAATAAATCTCCCTGCTTCAGGTCTTCATAAGTCTATTTCAACATAATAATTGGAGTGATACTTTGAGAACATAACTTTGGCCAAAACTATCCAGTGGCTTCTAATCTTATTCAGAGTAAGCCAAGGTCCTATAAAATACTGTACCTGACCTGGACTTTTTATTTCAATATGCCCTCTTATCATCACCTGTTCCTTTTTGCTGTTCCTAGACAATCTCAGGCATGTACCTGCCACAGAGCTTTTGCACTTACTATTCCTTCAGCCTAAAATGTTGCTTCCACATTTAGCACATAGCTGCTGCCTCACTTCCTTCATATTTCTGACCCATCCCATCTAATCAACAGCACCACATCCCCATCTCTACCTTGGCACTCTGAATGCCTCTTTGGCCCCTCTGCCACAAGTTCTAATATGTAGTACTCTACTTTGTCCTGAAAAATTCCAGGTTCAGTCCCAGTCAAGGGCACATGCCCAAGTTGTAGGCATCATCCCCAGTAAGGGGCATGCAGGAGGAGGCCAATCAATGATTCTCTCATCATTAATGGTTCCATCAATGATGTTACCAGGGATTGAGCCTGAAACCATATGCCCTGACCTGGAATTGAACCAGCAAACTTTTTGTGCATGGGACAATGCCCAACCAGCTGAGCCACACAGAGCATATTTTTCCTACTATTTCTACCAGATTTTTATTTGTATATCTTAAAACTCTATATTATGAAATTAAAGATGTTGACAATCTTCCTGGTGAGTTGTGCCCTTTACCCCTGTGCCAGCTTCCACCTCACTTATTTGCTCTTCAGCTATGATCATTATTTGACTCAGTGTATCAGTGAGGGGTATTGGAGGGTTGTTGTTGTTTTGTTTTTTTTGTTTTTTTTTTTTTTACATATTTTAATATCAAGGTGTATTATATGCAATTTCTCTCTTAGTGGTCTTTGGCTTAAACACTATTCCATCTGATGTTAAATTGCTACACCTGCTTTCTTTAGTTAGCATCTGCTAGGTGCATTGTTTCTATCTTTGGACTTTCAAACCTTTTTATCTAGTTTTTAGGTGGATGTGTCTTTTGTAAACAACATCAAGATGGATTTTGTTGCTTTCCTTAACCTAACAGAACCAATCTTTTTTAAAAATATATTTTATTGATTTTTTTTTTACAGAGAGGAAGAAAGAGGGACAGAGAGCTAGAAACATTGATAAGAGAGAAACATGCCCAAGGTACATGCCCTTGACCAGAATCAAACCTGGCACCCTTCAGTCCATAGGCCAACGCTCTATCCACTGAGCCAAACTAGTCAGGGCAGAAACAATCTTTTAATACATTCTATTTTAATGGTTACTCTAAAACTGGTAACTATCTTTTTTATACGAATAGAATTAATTTCCAGGTTCTCTAGTTATTTCTTTTCCTTAACAATACTCTCAATAGCCAATATTTTCTTATATAATCTTTCTCTGGCTCCTAATTGTGTCCTTGAATACAAGCATCTCTGACAGGAAACCTGGCGCCTCTCTGTCATGGTCTCAAGTTTCCTCAGGTGTTTTGTGGTTGTTGGTGTGCATTTCTTTTTGTGTTTGAGAATCTCTGCTTCCTGCATGTTCTGCTCACTGAAGTTTGCTTCTGATAACTGTGGAGAAGAGGCATGTGCCACTGAGGGGTCAAAGGCTAGTCCCAGACCAGGCTCTCATCCCCAAGTGGGGCTCAACACAGAGGAGAGGACGAGGGCTACCTCCCTACTGACATCCTCACATTTACCTCAGAGTCCCTCCCACTTCTCATTTCTGTTGACTTGGAGCTCAAAAAGGGTGTGTTTTGGGTTAGTGGTTTCAGTTGGTCATTTATCACTCTGGATATGGTCTCATCTGCTTTTTTATATTTAGGAATTCCTCAAGGTTATTTCTGATTATGAAAGTTTTTCCTATTTTCTAGAACCATTATTGATTTGTTCTTTTAAAAAGTTTTATCATTTTATGAGACTTTAAATTGAAAGAAAGTTAAAAATGCTGATCAATTCTTGCAGGTCACTAATCTCATACTCCTCTCTCCATCCCTCCCTTCCTCTCCTCCTTCCTTTCATTTCGTGGGGGGAGGGGTGAAAATGCAGAACAGTACTGTGAGTCCTGGTGTCTTTTGCAGGTAAGTGGTCACTCAGCTTGCAGAGGGTAGTGGTTTAGCTTCTGGTTAGCCTGCCCACTAAACCGTCACCTCCGGGAGCTGCAGCCTGGCCACTTCTCGTGCAAGACTATGGAGCAGACCCCTTCGCCTTCCTGCAGCTGCACAGCAACACCAGCCTGAATCACCAAAGGCTGTGAGAAAGTGGAGAGAGCAGAGGCCAAGGAAGGTTAATGTGGAAAGGCCTCCTGGAGGGAGGTCACCTTTAGGAGAGGGAAAGGAGTTGTAGTCATCCCAGTCCTTCAAAACCCCTGCCATCAGTGTCTTCCAAGCCCCCAGGCCAGCGCTCACAATGCTCTCCTCAACTTGGTGTTTCCCAGGGAAGAACTGGGTTCAGCATCTTTGTGCTCCCCACAGTATATGCTGGTCAAATTACTTGAATAAATTATAAGCACTTGAAAGTGTCCAAATTCTGTTTGCTTTGGCCTGCTTGAGTCTCTCAAGATACCACAGCATTGCAGCCCATTTCTCTTCCAGGTCAGAGTAACACCCTACTCCTGTATATAGATAATTAGACTCAAGGGAATCCAACCCCAAATTAGTGCCACCACCAGCCTCCCCATCTCCTTGGGTCCACGGACACCTTCCCACTCTGGGTCCTCAGCTTCCCTCCTCTTTCCCTTTGCTGAACAGTTGTTAAAACCTGAGGAGATTCCAGTTCTCCAGTACGTGAGCGGGGATGACCTTCTTCTGCTGGCCATTTTAATAAAGATCCGACGCCTGTTTCATAAACTTGAAGGATGTGTGAATTTTCCCTCTGGCCAGGTTTGGGAGAAATTAAAGCAACCTTCCTACCTTTCTTCACTTTCTGTAAAACTAATGGCCCTTTGTCACAATTCCAGTGTAAAGACAGACACCAAAACAACAATAGAAGCTCTAATAAATGAAAAAATTTAACTAAGTATGATGGTGCTTTCATTTGTTTCATTGACTTTTTTTTTTTTAAGGAGGGGGTGCAAGAGATTTCAAGAAGAGTACATAAGATGAGTAGAAAGACCAAGAAACAGGCTTTATTATAAATTTAGAACACATCCTGAGTCATCACTGGTTTACATTGTTGGGAGGGGAAAACAGCCTCACTTTCGGGATAGCAGAGAATGAGCAAATCAGCAAGTGTCCATGTCAACTAGAGTTCTATCCGGGGAAACAGAAAACAGGGAGGGGTCAGACATTTCCAAAACCATCCTGAAGGCTGGGGAAGTGAAGGCCAAGAAAAAAACCACTGACTTTCAGCAAATCTGAAGTGAGAGGATCTCAGGAAGCTAACAGCAAGGAAATGAGGGTGGCAGGAGCTCTCCTGGAAGAGCTGCCCCACCCATTGGAGCGTGAGACTAACAATAAACTAACAGACGAGGCCACTACCTGACCCTCCGCCCTCCTGCTTCTCTCACCTTGGCAAACCTCAGGCAGGTGCCTCTTACTGGGGAATCAACTGGAACTGCTGGCAAAGGATTTTAGAGCATTGTGTATTTCCCCTTCCAAGGGAAGGGTGGGGGGTGCTGCTGAGTCTGCAAGGACAGCCCAACACAGTTTCTTCTGCTCAATGGCAAAGTTGTTAGAGAACAACGAAGAGTTGAGAGCGGGATGTCCTTGGAGCACCTGCACACCGCCTTTCTGAACTTCCCGGGCTTCTCAGTTCCCTGTTCTTTTCTTTTATATGTTATAATAGTTTTATTAGAGTGAAATGGTCCAAAGCTATTATTCAACTTTATTTTTTATTATAGTTGACATACAATATTATATTAGTTTCAAGTGTACAATATAGTGATTCAACATTAACTTACCTTACAACATGATCACCACAATAAGCCTAGTAACCATTTGTCACCATAGATAGTGATTATTATTAACTTTATTCCCTATGCTTTACAGTATATCCCCATGACTTACATTATAACTGGAAGTTTGTACTTCTTAATCCCCTTCTCCTTTTTTGACCAACACCTTGTTCTCTGGGAGAGGGAGAAATATAGTTTGAGGGGCCATTCCTTATAGTGAATTCCAAATTTGATGCTAAATGCACAAGAGGGATTAAGCCTATCAACCACTCACCACTTAGTGTAAAGTACTAAGTTGGGAATGAACGGTAAAGGAGTAAATAGAATAATGGGGTATTTCTGGGAAGCCTGAGTGCTGTGCAGTTGGAAGTAGGAACCAACAAGGAAGGAGTTGAACCGCTGCAGGATGGGGCCTAATTCTTGGTATTAAGCCATTTGCCATCTTTTATGTTGTTGTTGCCTTTAATTAGCTTGCTTTATAAGAACTCTGATAACATTGAAGGTTTAATTTTATTATTTTTTTATTTCTATACTTGCTAATCTTCCCTGCTGTCTTTGTGAAAAAAGAGGTTATCAGACTTATATCTGGATCAACACTAAATCTCTCTTTTCTGTTTTTTACTTTTGCCTCTTCCTTTTCATTTATGATGAAATTTTAGTTTCAAATAAGATAGAAATATTCAATTAATATTTAATATTTATTTAGTGGATCAGACCTAAATGGGCAGTCAGACACCCCTCTCACAATCCAGGACTTTCTGGCTCCCAACTGCTTGCCTGCCTGCCTTCCTGATTGCCCCTAACCGGAAGAGAGAGGGATAGAAAGTTAGAAACATTGATGGGAGAGAAACATCGATCAACTGCCTCTTGCACACCCCTTTCTGGGGGTGTGCCCACAACCAAGGTACATGCTCTTGACCAGAATTGAACTCGGGACCTTTCAGTCCACAGGCTGACACTATCCACTGAGCCAAACTGGTTTCGGCTGTAGTGAGTTTCTTTCTGGGACAATAGTTCTTTTGAGACCCAATTTCAATGTCAAACAGTTCTTTATGTGTACGTGTCAGCAATGATATTTCAGTTCTGGATGGTGGGCAAATGGTGGTAATGCAGGTCCAACCCTCTCTGGTTTGATCCTGGGCAGCCTGCAGTGACACACAGTTGCTGACTGCTATTATGGCAAGGCGTCATCAGTGTCTTCCATCTCTGGACTGCTTCTCTTCTGTCTTCATGGTTGGAGCAGTCCTGTCAATTCCTCTCTGTTGCCACATGGTCTCAAAGTTTTTTCTGAAAATATAGAAATATATTCTCGACCAAAAGTTAATAAAGAAATATTTTCTATAAATTTTACTTGGAATCTTTTTTTATTTTTTGCCCAAATGATTTTCCTCTGTCTTATTTTGACATCATGTGTGCTTTTCGTGGGTGTCTTGCTGATAACATTACAATTAATTTTCTAAAGTACAAATTTTCTAGATGTAATTTACTTATAGGATATTTTTCCTTACATGATATTCTTCTACTTTCCCCTTTTTTGATTTAAATATTAGGAAGCTTTTGAAAATTTTGTAATGTTGTCTTGATAGCTTTTAAATTTTAATTTTTGCACTTTAATATGAATGCTTTAGGTTCATTTCCTGTTGTGAGATTTTATCCTGAGATGAACTACCAATAAAATTTTAGTTAACACTTTAGGAACAGTTTTTTGTCCAGTGCAATTAGTTTTTCTAGAATATTTGCTTATTTCAATTAGCCAATTTAAATTAGCCTGAAAACTTGTCTACTATTTTACTGTCAATTTTATTACTCTAAAACAATCTAATTTTACCATGTAAATATTAAGGGAAAGGATTATTTGCCTTCTTGAGTAGGCCCTGAGCATTCCTGGTGCTAGGCTGGATTTAGATATCAAAAACCCACTTCCCCACACCATGTTTACAAGACAACTCAAACAAGTCTTGTTGTAGTGCGAGGGCAGCTGCTGTCAGCCATGTTTCTGTCTTTTACCCGGGTTCCAATTTGAGCTGGGCATGGGAAGTTAAGCAACCCTGGGGGCAAGAAACTCACTCAGCAGGGGTGAGGTTTCAGGCCCCTGCAAAGTTTTGGGGGTGAGGGTCTGTGCCCCACCTCAGTTGACCTCCAAGTTCTCTCCAAATGGCCCCTCTGCGACTGTGCCTATCTTAGGTTGTTCCTTCCCTGAGGAATCTTACCCACCATTGGCTAACCAGCCATCCTCTGGGGCCAAACAGGGTGATGTGTGATTCAGTTCTTCTCCTTGGTATCTTATGCCCCTGTGGCCTCCACGTCCAGCTCCTGCCTTCGGATCCCCTCGCCTGCCGCAACACTGATCACATATCTTGGGGAACCCGGGTTTCCTCTCCAGGGAGGGCCCAGCTCTCCCCACTGGGTGAAAGACAGATACATGGCACTAGTCATCACAAGGCTTCAACCTCGACATGAATAGAAAGCTCAGGCAGCAGTTGTGGGCAATTGGATTGTGAGAAGAGGGTCCCTCTTGGCCAAAAGAGCAAGAGGGGCCAATATAGAATGCTCAGGTGCCTTCCCAGGAGGCCCTCTTCACAATGGAAGGGATTAAATCCTTTCATGTCCTTTTTAAATTGCTGCCAGACATTCAAAGAGTTAATTGTAAGTTTGCTTGGGATAATTGTATATTATGCTGTTGTAATTTTAGAATATCAAGAGATGTGTTACCTTTGTCTCCAAGCACCAAAAAGATGATTTTTTATTGATCCCCAAGGGTTCGGAGTACTATTATAAGTAATTGGGGTAACACAAATCTGGGGAAAAAATTTTAATGACATTGTAGAATAATATATAAGGATATTCTTTGTTCTAGGCCATGGCAATTCCATTTCATGCTGGCTGTCCATTTGTTTTTCAATGGACCAGGTCTTACTTACATTTTCTGCACCTCTCCCAGAGGCTAGTAGTGATAATAGTGACACCCTTTCGTTGGTGTCCACACAAGCCAGAAACCTCTCTCTAATTTTATGCACAAAAGGGGCAGTGTTTTGATTTTGTGTTATACAAAAGGGAAGCTGGGTGGAGACCCCTGTGTAACAAATATATGTTTTGGACCTGGCCAGGGTGGTTCAGTGGTTGAGATTCAACCTATAAACCAGGAGGTCATGGTTCAATTCCTGGTCAGGGTACATGTCCAGGTTATAAGCCCCATCCCCAGTATGGGGCACACATGAGGCAGCCACTCTCATCATTGGTGTTTCCATCTCTCTCTCCCTCTCCCTTTCTCTGTGAAATCAATGAAAATATATACATTTTTAAAAAATGATTTTACACAACTAGCATGGCTCAGTGGTTCAATTTCTGGTCAGGGTACATGCCTGGATTTCAGGCTCAATCCCCAGTAGGGGCCATGCAGGAGTCAGCTAATCAATGATTTTCATCATTGATGTTTCTCTCTATCTCTCTTCCCTGTCCCCTCCTCTCTGAAATCAATAAAAAAATATTTACCCTACAAGGGATTGAGCCCACAACCCAGGCATGTGCCCTGACCAGAATCGAATCGTAACCTCCTGGTTCATAGGCCGATGCTCAAGCATTGAGACACATTGGCCAGGCCCAAATGATTCTTCAAGAATTCTTGTGACCAAAAGGTGATATGACAGCTTTCCATGAATTCTATAACAAAATAAGATCTAGGAGACAGGATAAAATGACTCTTCATATTGATATACTGCTTACAGTTGAAGTCTTACATAATCCTGCAAATTCCCAGCAACATTAAAACTGAAAGATGGGAGTTCTTAGGTCTCACAACTAACCAGGGAGTGAATCTGGATCTTCAGACCCCACCTCCAATGTTCTTCCCTCTTTCCTCATCTGTTACTCTTTGCCCAGGGCCTACATGTTAAAGCAGAAATTGTCCTGGGGCAAGGCCCAGCTCTACCAACTAGCTTGTGCCCTTGGAATAGTTACTTAACCACCATGAGGCTCAGTTCTCTCTCTGTAAACAAAAAAGGAAAAAATCAACATAGTGACCATTATAGAGAACGTATGCCCTCTGCCCTGCCTGTTGTGAGCTATGCCCAGTGATGAGAACCACGTGATTATTACAGAGCCTGGAACAGCTTGTGCAGA